AGAGAAAAAGATGGTCTATTATTTTAAATTATTTCTTTTTAATCATCCTCTTTTGAATTCCAAAATTGAGGTAAATGACACACACTATTAATTGCAATTAAGCAAATGAAAAATAATTCGAATTTTCCCTATTAATAAATTTGTTGTAAGTATTTGAAAACAAAAAGCTGGTATAACATGTATAATGAACTGTTCACAAAGTGTATATCGCTAATTTGTATTATTTGTAATTAGCAAGAAAAATTGTAAAAATATTGCCTAAAATACTAGTCATAGAGAGTTTTATAAAACAATATTAGGAAAAATTTGTACTATTTTGTTGTTATTTTATTATGAAAAACTACTGTCAATGTATATTGCCATCAATGCACTAAATTTTTTGTTATTTAATAATTATCGTAATAATTAGGCCAGTGATTTGCTATTATGTATTTGAAATGTGCCTTACATCTAACTGTAAATATCTTATTACTATTATTAAAGTAATTTTTGTGAATGATAAATGTATATTTTCTACTGAACGGTAGATGGTACTAGTGTAGTAAAGATTCCTGTAATTCATTAGAGGTAAAGTATTGAGTTGGAGTGTTGACCGATAGATGGCGCTGATGTAGCTGTCGACGATGTATTCTAAATCGTATATTTAAGAATGAGAAGCTTATATATAGGGGTGGTTGGTCGGTGGTTCGGGACGGGGGGCACGGATTGGAAATGTATAATTGATGAAAAATTTTCAATATGATGGTAAGTAAGTAACTTCTTTAACCTTTAAACAACTTATATATATTGTAAGTTTATATTATAAGTCACATATTTAGAAGGTTGATGATCAAAACCAAACAGTATGTTGTTAAACGAAATGTATATTAAAATGCACGATACAATATTGTTTAAAAATATTCCACAGATTTATTATAATTTTAATGCTGTACGTTTTACTACCTATAGTAATTCAAATAAATTTAATAAGATATTATATTGTATATATTACATATTATACTAAGAACACAAATACATTCAATAAGATTCTATATGGTATATATTACACGGTATAGTAATAACAAATACATTTAATAAGACGTTATAAAATATACATATCACACAGTAATGATTCAAATAAATTTAACAAGATATAATATTATCCATATTACACAGCACAGTAATAATTCAAATACATTTAACAAAATTCTAGAAAAATTACATATTATATATGTTATGTTGCCTATAAACTGTTAAAAATTATATTAGGGTCAAAAATACTCCCTTAACTGTGGCCTCCACATCTCCCCTTATAGCCACCCTATCCTCCCAAATTAATATTAATTATCAGTACAAAAAAATAATGTAATTTAATTTTAGCAATTATACCAAAAAGTCAATTTACAAAGGTTTAAACAAAAATTACGACTGTATTAACAGTTTATAGAGTAAC